AGATAAGATAAATTAAATAAATAAATACAATTAATTGTTAAATTAGATAAATAGAATTAATCTTAAAAATAAATAAATAAAATAAATAATATTAATTAAATAAATAGATAAAATTAATTAATTAATTAAATCAATTAAATTAATCTAAAAAAAAAACAATCTTGATTAAAATCGCATCACCAAGCTCTTTACATTCCTCACCAGATTCTTAGCTCAACAATCAATAAAAAAAAACAGCATTGATTCTGGTCATTTTTGCTCCATAGAGATGCAAAGTCGTCTTGCGTTCTATATTTCCTCCCGGTTTTTTAGCTTCATGCACACTCTCCTGTCAGTGTCTGTATTTTTTTGGGCTTCCTGGTGTTTGTGGGTTTGGATTCCTCCTGCTGACAGGAGAAGGAAACCACACGAACTAAATCTGACACTCTGCCATGTTTACCCTTCATTTGTCTGCACAGTCTGTCACTTTCCCCCATTAGGCCACCCCCCCCCCCCAGGTACAGTTTGCCTTTGCGGTGCGTTCGAGTGCTAATCTGTGTGCTCAGACACGGGGGATCTGAGGAGACACTGTGAGGCTTATTATGTCTGATGTTTAATGTTTAAAAACCCTTTAAAGCCTGATACAGGAAAAATAGGAAGAATATTGGATTTTTTTAGTCTGAAAACTTTCTTTAGCCCCTCAACAACATATGAAGAAAAAAAACAGTAATTATTTTGATCAAATTAGCGTGCAACAAGTCAAAAATATATTTTGGTGTAGTCTTCTACTGGCTGTTATCAGGTATATCTGAATGTGTACAACAGGGGTTTGAGCAAAGCTTTTACCACTGAATGATGCAGAAAGTCTCAGATCCAAAAGACTTCAGAAACCGTATTTATCAAATATGACACATTTGGCATTTTAAGTCTTGGAATACAAGAAGATTTATCAAAAAGAATTAGTTCTGGACTCATTAAGCGCCCAACCATGATACTTTCCTGCTTATAAAGATTACTTTATGATACTTTATGATGCTTTCCTGCTTATAACGAGTACTTTATGATACTTTATGATGCTTTCCTGCTTATAACGGGTACTTTAGTGCAAAACAAGAAGGAAGGGAATGGTTTCTGGAAGCAGAACGGCCAAAAACAAACTGGCCGGCGTCCATAAGCGTCTGGTTTTAGGACCGGTGATTATCTGGCGATAACCTTGAGGTGACTTTTTAAAGGACTGATCTCACCCTGATCTCTCGTCTGTTATCAGCAACTTTTCATCTGTGCGCACAAATTGCTCAAAACTCAACAGATTCAGCTTAAAAAAATAAAAAATAAAAAAAATCCCCGGCTCCAATTCAAATCCAAACAAACAGAAACATCCTTTGTTTGCAGATTTCTGGCACCGGCTACAGAAGCCCAATATTTTCTGTCTGGCGGCCCAATGTTTTTTTAAGCTGA